GTATTGCATCACTAATCAGTGACTAGCCATGTGCACGGTGTCAGGTATAAGTCCAAATATTAAGGTGCCTAAAGGTTTCCGGATCCAAATGATTGGTGATAAGGAAAAGTGTAAAGACTTATCACCAATCATTTGGATCCGGAAGACCTTTAGGCACCTTAATATTTGGACTTATACCTGACACCGTGCACATGGCTAGTCACTGATTAGTGATGCAATACACTTATTTACGTGCGTTTGCACTATGTCACTTTGTCACTTGTTCTTTAGAACTGTCATCATTTAATATATTGATGTTTTTGTCATGTTTATAAGCTGCTGATAAGGCTTGACGTTATATGATGCATAGTTTCCTTTATCATATCATGATAATCAACTTTTAAGCGCTACACCCTGCTATTTTATTGTTCATTTTCTGAGGTTTTTGGTACCTTTTGGTGTTTAGCTGCTCACTGACTTTTAGCGCTCACTCATTCTTTTTTATTGTGTACACACTGACTGCAACATCACCCCCTCTACAGCGATGTGAAGGGGGCTTTAATCACCAGAGTCCCCCTCCACACATCAGAGTTCTCAGCACTCCCCCTTAACTAAGAGTTCTCCTTTGCATTAGTATCTGTAGGGTTCCCCCTTACAGTGCAAGAGGGAATCTGCAGACCCTGATGTAAAGGGGAACTTTAATGTAAAGAACAATACTGTGGACCACGATATAAAGGGGAACTCTGAGCACCATGATGTAAAGGGGAAAGCTGTGGACTATGATGTAAAGAGGGAACTCTGCAGACTTTGATGTAAGGTGGAACTTTGACGTAAAAGGGAACTCTGCGGACCAAGATGTAAGGGGGAATACTCTGCAGACTGTGATGTAAGGAAGTTTTGGTGACCAGAGTCCACCTTACATGAGAGTTCTCCCTTACACCAAAGTCTACAGCATTCCCCCTTACATCATGGTTCACAGAGTTCCCCCTTTCATCAGGGACTGCAGAGTTCCCCCTTGCACTGTAAGGTTCTGATGTAAAGTAGACCTTTGATGTAAGCGGGTACTCTGTGAACTCTGATGTAAGGGGAACTCTGGGGACTCTTGTGTAAGGGGGGACTCTGGTGACCAGAGACTCTCTTACATCAGAGTTCCCCTTTATATCATGGTCTGCAGCATTCTTCCTTACATTGGAGTCTGCAGTGTTTCCGTTTACATCAGGATCTGCAGAGCTCCCCCTTGAACTGTAAAGGGGAACCCTGTAGACCAGCAATGGGCAAACTACGGCCCGCGGGCCGTATACGGCCCGGCGGACCTTTTAATCCGGCCCGCGGAGCTAGGCTCCTCTCACAGTCCGCCCTGGAGTCCCCAAGTCCCCCCTGTGTCAATTCACTTACCTTTGCTCCGCGCGTTCCTCTCACCGTGTCCCGCGCCGTTCCGGTGTAGCATGAAAATCTGTCTCCTATGAGGATCTGTCCCCCTCGACGTATCTGCGCATGTGCCGGAGATCGCCGATTGGCTGCTAATGCCTGAAACTGGCACATGCGCAGATACGTCGAGGGGGACAGATCCTCATAGGAGACAGATTTTCATGCTACACCGGAACGGCGCGGGACACGGCAAGAGGAACGCGCGGAGCAAAGGTAAGTGAATTGACACGGGGGACTTGGGGACTTAATATGGGGGATGAATTAATATGGGGAATGAATTACTATATGGGGGATGAATTACTATATGGGGGATGAATTACTATATGGGGGATGAATTACTATGGGGGATGTATTACTATATGAGGGATGAATTACTATGGGGGATGAATTACTATGGGGGATGAATTACTATATGGGGGATGAATTGCTATGGGGGATGAATTACTATGGGGGATGAATTACTATATGGGGGATGAATTACTATGGGGGATGAATTACTATATGGGGGATGAATTACTATATGGGGGATGAATTACTATATGGGGGATGAATTACTATAGGGGGGATGAATTAATATGGGGGATGAATTAATATGGGGGATGAATTACTATGGGGGATGCATTACTATATGGGGGATGAATTACTATGGGGGATGAATTACTATGGGGGATGAATTACTATATGGGGGATGAATTACTATGGGGGATGAATTACTATATGGGGGCTGAATTATTATGGGGGATGAATTACTATATGGGGGATGAATTACTATATGGGGGATGAAATTACTATAGGGGGGATGAATTACTATGGGGGATGAATTACTATATGGGGGATGAATTACTATATGGGGGATGAATTACTATGGGGGATGAATTACTATATGGGGGATGAATTACTATGGGGGATGAATTACTATATGGGGGATTAATTACTATGCTTACTATGGGGGAATATTACTATACTTACTATGGATGACACATACACATAATTCATCTACTCTTGGTCCGGCCCCCGGGTCCAATATATGAACCCATTGCGGCCCTCAAGTCAAAAAGTTTGCCCACCCCTGCTGTAGACTGATGTAGTGGGGAACCCTACATACTCTGATGAAAGTGGGAACCCTGCAGACTCTGATGTAAGGGAGAGCCCTGCAGATTCTAATGTAAAGGGAGAGCTCTGAGGACTCTGATGTAAAGGGGAATCCTGCAGACTTTGATGTAAGGGGAAATGCTGGGGACTCTTTTGTAAAGAGGATGTCTGGGGACTCTGATGTAAGGGGGGGGGGGCACTCTGGTGTAAGGGGGAACATTGGGGACTCTGATGTAAGAAGGGACTCTTGGAACCCTTATGTATAGGGAAATGCTGGGGACTCTGATATAAGGGGGAACTCTGGGGACTCTTTTGTAAAAAGGATGTCTGGGGACTCTGATGTAAGGGGGGGCACTCTGGTGTAAAAGGGAACACTGGGGACTCTGATGTAAGGAGGGACTCCTGAAACCCTTATGTATAGGGAAATGCTGGGGACTCTGATATAAGGGGGACTCTGATGTTAACACAAGGTTCCTCAACTGCTGCACTCTTTTTTTGTATTATGCTGACTCCTGGCCTCTGCACCCTATACATTATGCTGTACATTACATAGTTCTGACCATTGTCCCAGCAATTGCTTAAAGAAGTTCATTTTTAAGGTTGGCTCAGACAAAATTACATCTTTTTTGTGTGTGCATCAAAGCATATGCAATAGAAATGTATATATATATTTAAATGATCCCCTTTGACCTTTATTTATGTCTGTCAGTTGTGGTACAGTAATTAGGAATGTATTGTGGGTACAAGGACTGTTATATGTGCAAAGGGTATATACTGTAGCAACTGTATCCTGATCCCCTGAGAGGCAATCTGATATTCCCTGGATGAACTTTACCTATAAATCTTAGTATCCAGTTATATTCTGTGTATCTAAGAAAGAATCCAGGCATTTTTTAAAGCAATCCACTGAGCTGGCCAGAACCAACTCTTGAGGGAGTCTATTCCACATTTTCACAGCTGTCACTGTGAAGAAACCTTTCCATGTTTGGAGATTACATTTCTTTTCCTCCAGACATAAAGAGTGCCCCCTTGTCCTCTGTGATGACCTCAGGATAAATAACTTTACACTTCACTATAGGACCACCAGGGGCGGACTGACCATTTGGAAACTCGGGCACTGCCCGAGGGCCTGGGGTCAGTAGGGGGCCCCATGAGAAGCCCCTGGTACCTTTTTCATAGGCTTTTTTGAGTTTTGGCAAGGACACGGGGGCCCCATGATCCCCTATTGCCGGGGGCCCCATGAGTTGTCAGTCCGCCCCTGATGACCACTAATCTATTTATACATGTTGATCATATCCCCCCTTAATCTTTTGAGTTTGGGCAAGGACACAGGGGCCCCATGATCCCCTATTGCCAGGGGCCCCATGAGTTGCCAGTCTGCCCCTGATGACCACTAATCTATTTATACATGTTGATCATATCCCCCCTTTAATCTCCGTTTAAGAGAGAATAAATTCAGTTCCTCTAATCTTTCAGCATAGCTGAGCTCCTCCATGCCTCTTATCAGTTTGGTTGCCCTTCTCTGTACTTCCTCCAGTTCCCCAATGTTCTTTCTGTGAATAGCCCAGCAGTTGTCAGTGCACCCCCTGCAATGCTCTTTTTAGCTGTCTGTAGAGGTTGTATCCTGATCACCACTGTCAGAGAGGCATTCTTCCCAGGGACATTTACCCACGGACCAACAATGAATTGGTTTTAGCAGGGGTTCCCCTAGAGCTGAAAATCAAGGATTCCTCTGGGGGTAAAAGACTGAGAAGGGCTGCTCTGGGGATTTCTAAAGACAGCGCAGGGCTTGCAACCAATCAGGTGTCACCTTTTTGTAATTAACAGCAGAGAAACAGGGAAAGACGATTCGTGATTGGCTGATCGCTGAAGGATTACAGCATGTTCCTATGAACATATAAATATATAGAATACCTAAGGAATGCCTTTCACGTTCTCTGCGGTCATGCATTGTCAGAGGGTAGAGGTGACCCGCATCCAGGTAATGGTGTAAAGTCACCGATGTAAGTAAGAGGTCCGGATCATGTGTTCTATGACGATGTATGCTAATCGGCTCGGTGCCCGTCCATCAGACCCGCGAGGTAGGAAGTCCCCGGACCCCAGCCTAGGATATACTCCTCCCCAGGATTCCGCCCGCCCGGTCCTCTTCTCTGGGGTTTGTTTCTGTGAAGTTGATTCCTTGTTTGCTGCAGTGTCATTGTTATTCCGCACTCGCTTCCTGATGTCACACACCCCCCTCCCATGACGTCACCTGGACACTGCTTCTCTTTATGATGTAGGATCTCTCAGAGTCTCCTCAGACGTCTACAGAAGGAGCTGGGGGAGCGCAGCTAACGCCGATCTATCTCTCTCCGTGCCCAGAGCTCTCTGTTCATCCTCCATCCCCCCGCACTGCATCTTCCGCAGGATCCCCGCCAGCCGTCTACTCCAGGATCCCCATCGGAGTCCTCGCAGTCCAGCCACCTCTCCGTGCTGCTAGACTTGCTGCTGGTGCTGTCAACATGTCTGAGATTCTCCCCTACAGTGAGGATAAGATGGGGCACTATGGCTCAGACACCGAGGTGGGGCAGATCTCCTTCAGCTGCCGTCTTCAGGACACCAGCGCTTTTTTTGGGGGCAACCAGCAGAAAAGACCCCCAAAACTGGGACAGATCGGAAGAGCAAAGAGAGGTAAGAGGATGAGGTGTTCAGGTCTCTATCAGACCCATCCATCTATCTACTCCACTGGATGTAAAGCTGTATCTACATCCCAACACCTATCTTCATTCCAGCCGTTCTTTTTATCTCCCAACGCTCAAAATACATTGCTCATCTCTCAATTCCCTGGTGTGTTTGTTGTCTATCTCAAGCTTCTTCAACCCCTGCTCATCTCAGTATTCCGTTCTCCATTTGTGATCCCCTATCATCCATCTGTGTCCCACAAAATCTGCTACTCCCCATAGGTTCTTTGGATGTTCATGGATGTTCCTCTCAATAATCTCTTCCATCTGTAATTTCACACCTGCCAACCTCCATCCTCTATATATGCACCATTCAATATTCTCTCTGCCATCCCTGATCCCCACAATCTACTATCCTCTATCAGTCTGCCATTCTCAATATATGTTCCTTTTAATGTTCTCTCTTCCCTCTCTGATCCCCACAATCTACCATCCTCAACCAGTCTCCAATTCTCAATATATGCACCATTCAGTACGCTTGCTTCCATCTATGATCCCTATGATCTACCATCCTTCATCAGTCTTCCAATCTCTGTATATGCACCTTTTAATGTTCTCTCGTCCTTCTATGATCCCCACAATCTACCATCCTCAGCCAGTCTCCCATTCTCAATATATGCTCCCTTTAATGTTCTCTCGTCCTTCTATGATCCCCACAATCTGCCATCCTCAGCCAGTCTCCCATTCTCAATATAAGCACCATTCAATACTCTCGCTTCCATCTATGATCCCCACAAATCTACCATCCTCCATCAGTCTTCCATTCTCTGTATGTGCTCTTTTTAATTCATTCCTTCCATCTATGATCCCCACAATCCACCATCCTCAATTAGCTTCACATATTCTATTCATGCTTCCTTCAATCCTTTCTGTTCCTTCTATGATCCCCACAATCTACCATCCTGCATCAATCTCCCATTCTCTATGAATGCACCCTTCAATACTCCTTTTCCATCTATGATTCCCACAATCTACCATCATCTATCAGTCTCCCATGCTCTAAATATGCTCCCTTTAATCCATTCTCTTCCATATGTGACCCCCACATTCTACCATCTTCCATCACTATCCATCCTTTATAAATGCTTCCCTTAAGCCCTTCATTTCCATCTATAATCATCACAATCTGTAACTCTCTCTCTATGTATGTATATTTATTTTATATTTTATATATATATATATATATATATATATATATATATTTTTCCCTCGGTCCCTTCTCTTCCAACTATGATACCTACAATCTATAGTCTCCATCAGTCTCTCCAGTTTCCCATCCTCTATGTATGCTAACATCAAACACTTCCCTTCCTTCTATGATCTTCACCATCTACTATCCTTTATTCATACCCAGCCCCCCAGTCTCCAATCCTCTACATAGGCTTCCCTCAATATTCTTCCATCCATTGTACCCATAATCTACAATCTTCCGTCAGTCCCTCTAGCCTGTGATCATCTACATATGCTTCCCTCTTATTTTTTTAATCCCAGAACCCCAGAACAAACCATCTTCTGTATATGCTCCCCTCATCATTCTATGTTCCATCAGTGACCCCACAATCTTCCACCCTCCTTCAATCTATTCAGTCTTCCATATCAATATTGTGTTTTCCATCAATGATCTCACTACCTTCCATTCTCTATCTGTACCTCCAACCTCCCATCCTCTATATAAACTCCTTTCCTATTCTCTGTTTTATCTATAATCCCTCATATTCTCTGGGCTATCTATGATTCTAAAACCTGCCATCCTCCATCATTCACTCCTGCCTCCCATCACCTATAAATGCTTCCTTCAATCTTCTTTCATGCTTCTCTAAGCCCCAAAATTTACCATCCTCAAAGATTGCCTGTAATTTCCCATCTGTCATCTATGCTCCCCCATGTCTTTCATACTTCATCTTTCCCTGTCAATCCCCATCTTCATTTATGCTCTTTCTCATTGTCCATTCTTTCAGTTCTTCAATCACCCTTCTTATCTCCCATGATTCATCCATGCTTCCTCCTGCCGCCCATCCCCCAGCTATGCCCCCATGTTAATCCCCATGTCTGCTCTCCTCAATCCCCAGTTTTTCATAAACCACCCATCGGATCCCCCTCCACTTCTCCCCCCAAAATGTTCTTTCATTTGTTTTTTGGTGTTGCTCCTTTTTCTTCTTTTTAAATTCTCCCAACCTCCATCCCCCAAAATGAAGCAATGTATATTTTCTAGTTGAAATGTATATGTGGTTATTTTTTCTGTTCATCTCCCTCACTGCATGAAGCAGGCTGGTCTGTCCACTTGTGTCTGTGGGTGTAAGTGATTTCATTATTTAGAGTGTGTGACTTCATTAAAGAAGCTCTGCTACTTTTCTCTGGACAGAGGAGATATATTTACAGAGGAAATCTATATTTAGATGCAACCTGCCCGTTAGAGAGGTAATTCCACACATTTACACGTGTTAAAAAGAAAAGTGTACAGAATTCAGACTAGTATCTATAGACTCCATATAAGTTTATGGGTCTGACGGTGCAAACTGCATTCATCAGAGGGAAACATGGGTGCACAGAATATTGGGACAGGCTAGCCAGATAAATGCAATCACATTATTCCAAAACATTAAGCTGGATGTAATAAGTAAGCAGACATATTTTTAGGGAAACATACCAGGAGTATACTGGGCATGCCTGGTGCCATTCATTGCTTCCACCTGGAGATAGATTTCCTTCACTCCTCGGAGGGATTTCCATAAACTGTCATCCTCTATTTGTGGAAGCCTTCTAATATTAATAGATTGTAGAATTTCTATCAGATACAATGTGGAGGCATACATTTAGAATGTACACTTTGAGCTTAGACATATATGCATATAATATACATAAATGTAAAGCTCTTCTTAGATTAATGACAGACCCATTTTATTTAATGACATGTACATTTTCCTATTTAAAATTACTATCTCTGAATCATAATATTGTCATAGAACTGCCACAGAGTCTCTCCTTACAAATCATCAGACTGCATGATTGCTGGCAGGTCACACAGGGTTGATCAGTATCAGGCACTGGGAATGGCGTGACTTGTGATCATAGCTATATAAACATTCTGCTGTCAGATATATACTAGAGCAAGCTATTCCGTTTAAGTCCCAGCACTCCAGCCTGATGCATACAGGTACATTCACATGTTGAGCCTGCTACAGCAAGATCTCCATCCCTCCTGCTGAGAGATTCACTGTGTTACATCTTGGCTGCTGGACATGCTGCTGTCCAAGGTGCTGATCTGACTGCTGCAGCATACATGTGTGTAGTGTTCTACCTAAACCCTGTGTGAGTCAACGTTTGTATTGATCTGTTTATTTGGGCTGATAGAGCTTGGGAGATGTATTGTTTTCAAATGCAGTTGAGTAAAGCTATTTCCTTTCCTTTGTGCAGCCTATAGAACATAGACAATTGTAAGGGGAACATTTTTTTGTCAGAAATATAGTGTATAGATCAAGGTGATAATACTGCTTCTTTTGACAGTATTTATAACACATGTAAATTTTTTATTTAGGTGGTTAGAGTTAAGAACACTGCTTTTAAATATGTTAAATATAACATGTTAAGCTAAGTAATCATCATATCTACAGTTTTTTTAAGCAGTGGAGAGGCTTTGAAAAATTTGTGGCAAAGTTTTGTTGCCCATTTCCTTTAGGGTCCTTTCACAGGGGTGTTCCATGTTTTTCATCAGTTCAGTCACGTTTTTTCAAAGAAAAAAGGGACCGTTTACATCCATTTTTCATTTGTTCAAAAAAAACGGTTGTTAATGAATATGGACATTAATGGATGTAAATGGATGATCATCCATTTACATCTGCTAGTTCATAGAAATGCATGGGTGTCCAGTTTTCATCCATAAACGGACAGATGAAAAATAGACATACGGAACGCCTGTGTGAAAGAGGCCTAAGGCCAGATTTTGAAGTAAATGTTTTGTAGCAAAATTAAGATCTATATTATGATCAAATCACAATATATAAAGGGGAGCCGAATCTAAAAAAGTTGAAATGCTGTAGTAAAATTTCTATCTTATCCCAGAACATGAGCATTGAAGTGAGCGCAAGGTTGCAGCGTTGACATTATTTTATGGTAAAAACACAGTTAATCCAGCTATATTCTTTTTTTAAAGTAACATTTTTGTACAGTTATTTTGCCCCCAGCTCAAAATATCGTACTTTGAAAGGAATCATTATGGTAGCTTTAAAGCAGTATGAAACCCAAAACCAAAAATGTAATATATTACAGATTAGCAATTTTTAGATATGATGGCTGCATTTATTTTCTTTACAGGCCTTTTTATCCTTTATTTTCACCTGGTGATCCAGCCAGTAAGTCTGGTATTTTAAAACTTCCTTTATTTCATTGAACAGATCAACTTGACCTGTTAAAGTGGCACTTAGAAGGTTGAGACAAACCTTTTAGCACTGACAGGGGTGCTTATGATGGTCAGCTTTTATTCATACAAGTAAAACCTTTACCCTGAAAGGAAAAAACTTGCTGTAAGTGCTTAAAAAGTGTTAGCTGGAGTTTTGACTTCAATTTGTTAGACATGCCCATCTTAATCTACTAGAGAATCTACCCTCTCCCCAGATTGATAATGTTGCTTTCCATGGGTGGCTTCATTGCTGCTCCATCCATAGTGGAGACAACTTAAGGGCTTGTTCACACATGTGGCTAACACAGCATTTGACAGGAAATGAAGAGACAATATGTTGCCTCCTCAGCACGTGTTTCAATCCTCAAAATGCTGCAAAACCATACTGCAGCCACATGCATTGCACACAGTTGCCCCATTCATGTCCATTTACTTCACACCTGTCAGGTATGATGTGCCATGACTGCAAAGCATCACAACTGCAGCATGGGTACAGCTCTGAGCCAGCTACATGGCTTTGTTTAGGTGGGTGGTCAGGTTGCAGTAAAAGCCACCACTCAACTGCTTGTTTTTACTGTCCGCCAACCGCCCATGTGAACAAGCCCTAAGACAATAAGTTAGTTACTGGCTGGATCACCAGGTGAAAATAAACAGAAAAAAGAAATCAAAAAAATTAATACAGCCACCCAGCAGCGCGGACTGACAACTCATGGGGCACCGGGCAATAGGGGATCATGGGGCCCTTGTGTCCTTGCCCAAACTCAAAAAAGCCTATGAAAAAGGTACCAGGGGCATCTCATGGGGCCCCCTACTGATCCCGAGCCCT